CAAACAGGCATTTTTTACATGTCTGTTATCAAGACCCGGCCTTTCCCTGAGTTGCCTTAATTACAGTCACTTGTCTCCAGGAAAAGCTGATTGATTTCATAACAAGAGTAGACATTTCGGCCCTCCCTTGTGGCACAGTGGGTTAAAGCACAGCACTGAGAAGCTAAAGCCACTTCCTCACGAGTTCAATTCCCACCTGCCCCGGAGGTGACCACATGGCGCGGCAGACCTCTCCTGACCAGCCCGCTGCTCCCCTCAGCAGTGTACTTTGTCGATCTGCCTGTTCTGCTCCCCACTCTGTCTCTGGTGAAGCCTCTCGCCACCCCTGAGCCTCTGGCCTGTACCCCAGTTCTGTATGCACAAATAAATAAAAATTAAAAAAAAAAAAGAGTAGACATTTCATGTGTGATTTTTGTAAAAATTGACTGATGCTGGAATATTGTTTAAATTAGATGAAGGGTATCTTTAAATCAGCAAATGACGTTCTCTCATAAGAGAATTATAAAAGCACTTTGATTTGTAAATTTGCCAAAGATTCCTGCCTTAAACATCTATGAACTAACTGGTATAATAATAAATGCAAAGAAACCTATTCACTATGTTTCCTGGCTGAGATTTTGGATGAGGCAGCTAAGCAGAAACAAAAGATACTTGGTTTTTCCTTTAAGTATTTTTAAAAGTTGCTGGGTAAGTTTCATCCTGAAGTTTCTGTCTTTAATTAGTAGTGAATTTCCTGAGAAGGGCAAAAAGTTCTAGAGCTGAAGGCAGTTTATTGCTTGACTAGCTTTCTAGACTCACAGCTGCTATTTAGATAAATTGACCACTAGGTGGCAGCAAATTTCTTGAGCACAGATTTGAACTGTTGTTTATTGCCATAAATATTTCATTCATTTAGAGAAATAAAGTTATAAAAAATAAAGTCCTCTGTTAAATAACCAAGCATAAATAAAAACCACTGGATGTCATATATAAATATGTTATTTTCAGAGCAAACATTTCAAATAAGTGACTGAATTATAACTTAGAGGCATGTTATAATAAGGATTTTGCTAAATACTGTATTTGTTTGTTGTTTTATTTTATCATTATAACATCAGTGATTCTATTTTATTTATTTATTTTTTAAAGATCTATTTATTTATTCATACAGAACTGGGGGAAGGGCCAGAGGTGCGGGGTGAGAGGATTCACCAGAGACAGAGTGGGGAGCAGAACAGGCAGACGGACTGAAATACACTGCTGAGGGGAGCAGCAGGTGAGACAGGAGAGGTCTGCTGCGCCCTGTGGATCAGCTCCCTGGCTGGGAATTGAACTCTGCCCTGCAGTGGTTGTGGACAGCTTCACAGTGGTGCGCTTTAACCCACTGTGCCACCAGGGAACACCCTCCTTGTATCTTCTAGTAGTTGCTTGATATGTTTTGGTGCTCCTGTATTGGGTTCGTCACTGTCGCGATGACCCGTTCACAATGATGCTGTTATCACCACCTGTTTTGAGTTATAACTTCACAATGTTCTTGCTAAGTTGGTAACATTAACTTCTTTGTATTTCTGTTTCTCCATCAGCAGGATGAAGGACAAAACAGTACCAGCTCGTAGAATTATTGTGAGACTTCTTCATAAGCATCTATCGCTAGACATGATTTAGAAATTTGCTGAAAAGTAGCACACTCAGTAAATGCTGCTTGCACAGATACATTCATGTCTGGCGCTTCCACTGTGCATTGGATGCTCAGAGGGGACTGACCTTGAGTCTGAATTCAGCCACTTACCATAGAGTGAGCGCCCAAGGGTGGTGGAGCGCCAGGACAGCGTGGCTGAGGGCAGAAGTCCTGGTACCTTGGAGCGAGTGCTGAGAAAGGCGACTCAGGTCTGAACAGTGGATTCTATTGTGACTTCCCTTTCTCTCCTCTTTCTCTATTGTGCCACTACAGCAGTTTGAATACAGAGTGTTCCATGTCAGTATTTTTTTATTGATCTAATCATTAGCTCAATTTACAGAAACCTCCAAAGTCATCTTTGTTTATATGTTTCCTGGGGGCAAGACTCATTGTTTTATTTAACATTTCCTAGAATTTAGACTGACCTCTGTGCTCAGTTCCTCTTAGAATTTTGATTAAAATAATGAACCTAGCTTTGGGATTAGATTCTGGAAGGCTCGAGGCAGGAAGTGAATTTGGCTGAAAATTGATTCCTTTCAACTGGGTGGTTCTTTGCAAGTGTGTTTAAAATATTTCTGGAATGTATTTAAAACAGAGCAAAATACAGGAGTGATTACAACAAGAACATGTCATCCTCAGCCAATGTAACCAATTTTAATTTTCTGGCCTATTTGTTTCAATCCATTCATCCCCAGACATAGGCAGTATTTTGAAGCTGGAGTAGTCTTCTGTTCACAGTTAGTTTTTTATCAGAGATATACATGTTAAGAGTAGTATATAGTCTGTTTGGTTCTTAAATTTAAAATTTCATAATGTAGATTTCATTTTTCCTATTTGCTTTTTTTCACCATTATTTGAAAATCGCTCATGATGATTTATAGTCGGTTGTAGAGCTCCCATTTTCATTTCTGACACACAAGTGTCAGGAACAGCTTCTTGCTGTCCCCCAGCCTGCTCTCGCACGGCCTGCCATGCCCCATCCTCAGGCCAGGAACTGTAATGCAGGGGCGAGGAGCACGAGCTTCAGAAAAAACAGACCTAGATTGAAACTTGTCTTTGGAACGATGAGCCAATTTATTACTCCCGCTGCTTGGCCCTGCCCTTCCCCATGACCTGCATGACAGGCACATTGGTCTCTGTACCAGGGATCCTCACAGTGGCTTGAAGCCTAGGTGCTGCGGGTTACTGGCTTCTCCAGCTCCTGCAGCCAGGGCAGGCATGCACCTGGTCGGCCCCACCTGGGGCTTTGAGTGGGCAAAGGGCACGAAGAAGCAGTGCCCAGCTGAGTGTTCACCCCAGTGGTCGTGGGTGCACCTTGCGGCAGAGGCCACAAGCCCAGCAGCCACTCCCAGGACTCAGTGACCACGGCACCATCTCAGGCTGTGCCTCTGTCAGGACCCTGGCTGTGGCTCAGCCTACCTCCCTTCCTGTCGTGGGAAAGAGCTGGGGTGCAGGCCGGAGGCATGGGGTGAAAGAATTCTCCAGAGATAGTGGAGCACAGATAAGACAGATTTATAGATATACACTGCTACGGGGAGCGGCAGTGAGATGGGAGAGATCCTTGTGGGAAGAAAGAATTGGGGCCCCCTTTAGTGACCTGTTTTGGTGGACCTTCCATGACCGGGGGAGTCAGCCTCTGCCGGCTGTTATCTGCTGGGTGGGCCTTCCGCACAGGGGTGTCCTGCTGCGTTCTGTTTGCCCGGAATTCTTGCTGGCCCAGGGGAGTTCATGTGGACCCAGGGCCAGGTTCCCATGGCAACAATATCGGTTCCCCTTCCTTATTTATTTTGTGTCTCCCAGTATTGTTCAGTTGTGCAAAGTGCAAGGACAAAGTTTTAAGTTTACTGAACTATGATACCTCCACAAGTCCCGTCAGTTTGGCGAGTTCCTTGATAGTCTTCCTTAAGGTCTCTTTGACTTACGTTGATTTGGTTTTTCCTACTTGCATTCAAGAACCCCGACCCCAAGCCCCCAGCGGTATCCTCAAGTGTCTTGGAATCTTCCTCTGCCCACACTCACACCCAGGGTCAGTCATTTCCCTCCCATCACAGGTTGAGCCCAGCCTCTGCCGACCCATCCTCTCCTCACCCTGCCCCTCCTCTCTGCTTAGTTGACTCCCTGCTCCTCGTTTTGTATCCAGGGGACAGGCATGGGCAAAGAGCTGTTACTTCTGCTGGACCGGCCCATTCTCCTGTCCAGGAAAGGTACTTAGTGTCCACGAATTTGGGATTCAAAAAACCAGCCAGATGTGGGACCTGGTCCTTAGAGGTGTTAGGACACAGGTGTGCGTGGGAGCTTGATGCGTTCAAATAATGCTTCCCAGTCTTCATACCTGGATTGACGCAGCACCCGACACTGGTTAGATGCATGACAAATATTTATTAACAGGCTGGAGGAATGGCAGGTATTTAGTGGCTGTTGAGGAAACACAAAAAGGCAGGCCTACAGGATAAGACCCCTGCTCCTGGGCACTGTGTGTGTGGTCAGGTAGCAGCTACCCCCAGAAGTGGCACAACAGCAGAAGAGCCAAGGCCTAAGTGCCTGGTTCTACAGGGAGATGGATGGTGAGTCAAAGGGAGGCCCCTGGGGTCTGGGTGTGGCCATTGAGGATTTGGGGGGGCCCGATAAACGAACTTGGGCCTAGAAGGGGAGGTCAAGGTTGAGAAGCAGAGTTGGGAGGGGGCAGGAAGAATCAATGTGGTGTCCCCTGGGGGCTGGGGTGGGGGCGCCTGAGGACTGGACAGGCAGAGGCAGACAGGGTTTCAGGTTGGGATGGGGAGATGAGCGTGGCGAGGGAAGGCCTGCGGGTCATGAGAATGTCAAGGAAGCGCAAAGAAGTGCAGACAAGAGCCCCCGGCTGCCCACCAGGACTCCACTTGAGGCCAAGCGGTGAGGTCCCTGGCCCGGTGGGCAGTGGGTCTGTGCACTGTGGCTTCCTGCCAGTCTGTGGTTTGATGTTGGTGTGGTTTGGGGGTGTCTGTGTCTTTGGGAGCTTCTGGTTGTAGATGGTAGAAGTTAGGGAGTGTAGAAACTTTTCTCTTTGCCTCACTCTTAGACAGGACGAGAGAGAGAGCCTTGCGACAACCGAGCAGGAGACAGTTTCTGCCATGCTAAGAAGTGATTCTAGCCTTCTCTGTCTTTGGTGTCCCGCCATATGCCCACCCTGCTGCTTCCTTCCTCAAGGGCAGGCAGGGGAGAGAGGCCGGAAAGGGGGGCTTGTTTCTTGTGGACTTGCTATCTGGATTCTTTGGCATTTTGGGGTTCCTGACGGTGGGCCAGGGACACTCATAGTGACCTCCCTCTTCCTGCTCCCCCTCCCCAGCCTGCTTGCTGCCATAATCCCTCAGGGGTTTTGCTCCAGGGCTTTAGAAAGGATTGTGGGTGTTGGTGTAGGTCTCTGTCTCCCCACAGCCTCCTGGTCCACAGCCGCCTGGATGCTTATGGCTGCCCGCAGGCCAGATTTGATGGCGGTGTCTAGCCAGGCATGAGGCAGGCAGGTGTGCTCGCCGGCAAAGTGGACACGGCCCTCTGGCTGGAAGAGCTGCCTGGAATAGTCAGCAAACTGATAGGGGGTGAACTCAGCGAAGGCGCCCATGGTGTGGGGGTCCAGGACCCAGTGCTTGATCACCGCGGACGGACACATGCCTCGCAGCTCCTCCTTGGGTATCTGGTGCACCGCCGCCAGGTCCTCCAGGATTACGTCCACCACCTGCTCGTGCTTCATGGACAGGAAGAAGAGGGAGTCGTCGTCCACCGTGTAGGAGGCCAGCAGGACGCCCTTGCCGCTGGGGTCGCGGTGGCTGGGATAGTAGATGTAGCGCGAGGGCCGGTCGGTGATGGAGAAGCCGCCCTGGATGCCATCCCGCTCCCAGAAGGACTCGTTACAGGCCAGGACCACCTTGGTAGCGCTGGTGTAATGCACCGAGCGCAGCCCGTGCATCTTGGGCTGGGAGAGCGGAGGCTTGAAGGTGATGAGGCGCGTGGCCTTGGCGGAGGCGGAGATGACCACAAAGTCCGCGGTGAGGGTGTGCAGGCTTGGGTTGGGCTCGTCCCTCCGGTAGGAAATCTGGACCTCAGGCCCATCCCTGTCTACCACCTCTACCTTGGCGCCCAGACGGATGGTGCCAGGCTTTAGGCTGGCACTGAGGGCTTGGGGGAGCTGGTCAAAGCCGCCGGTGATCTCTGAGAAGCTGCAGGGTGAAGGCAGGAGAGGGTGAGGGGGGGGGGGGAAGCACCAGGCCAGCTTGCTCCTGGCCTGAAGAAGGAGGACGCCAGAGACCTGCAGCCTGTGCAAGCTGCTTCCTATTCACCTTAACCAATCTCTGAGGGAGGGACAGCCTGATGTTACAGTTTGGAAAATCGGCACCAGGAGGAAAGTGACCAGCCCAGGAGGCTCTGCACAGACAGCTGCCGAGCAGGGATTCTGGCTATCTCCTGGAGGAGTGTACAGACAGAACTGGGATTCAGGCTCCAGCCCTTGCCACATGGTGTGCTCGTGGGTAAGTGATACATTCTTGGAAATGCGTCTGAATGGCAGTTTCATCCGGAAGATGGCTCTGAATGACAGCCCCTGCCTTCCCCGGGTGGAGGATGAAGTGAAACATTTCTTGGAAAGTGCTCAGCACGGTGCTTGGCACACAGGAACTACCCCACAACCACTTCCTTTTCTCAGCCCCAATGTTGGAGGAGGGGTGGACAGAGGCCTGCCCAGGACGTCTGTACCTGTCACTTTTGGAGAAGATGATGTCCATCCGCAGGGACTCCAGGAGGGACTTGTAGTACCCAGCATCCTCGTTCATCACATCCCCAATCATGTCCACTGCTCCCTGGCTCAGCTGCCCTTCCTTCAGCAGGTAAGCCTGTAGGGAAAAGGGAAAGCCAGGTGGAGGGGCCCAGCTTGTAGGAAGGGCTTCCCCAGTCAAGGGATGGGACTCTCCAGGCAGGTGGAGGCTTTGTCAGTGGGAAGAGAGGGTCCTGGTAGGCAGGGGAAGCCGCCCCAGGGCGCTGAGCTGAGCAGAGACCCTCCCACCTGGGGCTTCTTTGTCTCACGCACCTTGGTGGAGTAAGAATCATATAAGGATATCAGGTGGCTGCAGTTGACGTTTTTCAGACTTTGCTTGAGCTGCAGAAGGGGAGGAAGGAGGAGAAGCTTTAGATGAAAACCAGAGAGCCAGGGACAGAACTCTTGGGTTCTCTGCTGACCTGCTGAGGAGGGGAGGGATGGGAGTCCAGGGTAAGGGGCCCCCCAGTGCTTCGCTGTTCAAGCCACTGGCCCGGCAGGGAGGGGGGAGGAGAAGGGGCTGGTTATTAGGACCAGGTGGCAGCATTACTGGGGGACGTTAGATGGAAGCAGACTAATCACAAGGGGACTCACTAGGGGCCAGGTGATCTGAGCCCATCCGCTAACTTGCCAGGTGGGCTTAGGGCAGACCTTACTCTTTCCCAGCCCAGAGAGGGGTGAGGCATGAGGCACCTTGGCAATGGCCTGGTAGAAGAGATTCGTGGCACTCTTGCCCATCTCCCTGGAGTTCAGGGAGTAGCCCAGGAGCTGTGGGTTGGCCTTGACCTCCCTGGCACGGTGGCGCTGTCCTCTGATGAGAAACCAGGTGTTGCCGTCGTACTGGATGAACTTGTTCAGCTTCAGGCCCAGCTTCTTGACAAAGGTGTGGACCAGCCTGGAGCAGACACAGGCGTAACATGGCACCTGACCGAGGGGCCTGCTGCCCCTGTTCCTGTTCTTTACAGGGAAACCACTTCCAAGAAAGCCAGTTTCTTCGTGTGCCCGAGGGGCTTGGATGGGCTGCTGCCTCGGATCCTGCCTTCTCCCTGCAGCTAGTTCTTTTCCTTCTGTTCTTGCCCCAGGGGAGAGAGGAGGTTGGGCGCTCCCCCCCAACCCCCATCCCCCACCCCCACCATGTGACGTCCTTAGGAAGCCCCAGCAGGTAGGACTCAAGTGTAGAGACAGAGCTGTTTTGTTTGCAGGGTACCTGCGAGTCCATTGTCCATTTCTAACTGAGTTTGAGGAGAGGGTTCTTTGGGTTTTGTTTCAGTTTTGGGGGTGGTTGAAGGGAATATTGGGCTCCATTTACACTGAGACAAAAAGAAGTCAGAGTTTTGGAGTACGTGAACTCCAGGCAAGGGCTCTTTTTGTCTTGGAAACCTTGGAATCTCTTTCTGGAGTCAACTCTGGTTTAAGGAGGAAGAAGTATGTGATTTTGTGCCAGGTGCCTGCTTGGTTTTGAGGAGAAACTTTGTCACTTTCTCTTAGAAGAATCTTGGATGGGTTGCTTCATAGCTCTGAGCCCAGTTTCTGGATGTGTAAGTGGGAAACATCAGAGCACCAGATGACAGGTCTGGGAGGACTGAATGAAACAGTGGATGTACGGTTCAGCTACTCCTATTACTAACTGTTATTATTGATGGCTTAATATGGTGTAAGAAGGTGCCTGTTAGGTTAAGCACCCCGGGAGACCACTGCCCAGGGTGTTTCAGGAAAACCCACTGCCCCTAGTTCCAGGAAACTGTACACCAAAAGAGAGAGAGGAAAAAAAAAAACAAAAAACTACGGATGCGGCCACCTGGCACCCTGACTCCCTGCCACGTCAGCCCTCTGCCATCCTAACCCTACTTAAGAAACCCAAAAACCCTCAACCGGCGCAACACCTCTGGCTTGGTCCGGAGGTGCTGCCCAAGAGTGCAATGAACTTTTCTTGCTTTTGCTCTTCCTTGTCTCACACCTTATTTCTTGCCGGACTTTCCCTCACCACTCCTTTTCGTTAACCTTTCAGTGCCCGAGCCTACTGCGTGGTATTTGATGAACTGTTATTTTTATTGATTCGGGATCTCCCGCTTTCTGTGTGACCTGGGCCCTGAACCTTTGTCTTCTGTATCAGGTGGGCCAAGTGTGCAAGTCCTGACCTGCAGGAAGGCGCCTCCCAGGACAGTGTCCTGAAGACTGTGATAGCCTTGGGCCCCTCCCAGGGCTCCCTCAGTCCTCTCTCCAACCCTCACCAGGACTTACCTGTGGGACTTGGGGATCCGCATGGGGCCCAGATCATAGTACCAGCCCTCCTCCTCGTTCCTGAATGTAAACACTCTCCCCCCGATGTGGTCGCTGGCTTCCAGGATGGTCACCTGGGATCCAGAGAAGCCGCTGTTATTCCCAGGGCTCTGCTCTGCCGTCTCCCACTCTCCACTCCACTGCCACCACCCCCTCCCCAGCCTCTCACCTGGAATGCCCCCAAGTAAGTGTCTGAAAAGTGGGGGAGAGTCAAACTGGAAGCAAGTGACGGAAGCCCCTCTGGGCCTGCTTACCTGGTGGCCAGCATCCTGGAGGGTCTTGGCCGCCGCCAGGCCGGACATGCCGGCTCCCACCACCACCACACGCTTGGACAGCGGGGAGGTGTGGAGCCCCTCCTGGGCCGTAACAAGGATGGACTCGTATTCGGGGTCCTGAAAGCACTTGGCCAGGTCCTCATAGTAGCCAAGACAACTGGGGGTAGCCAAGAGCAGCCCCAAGATCAGGATCCCTGAGGAAGAGCAAGCTCTGGGAACTGCCCGTCTGGGGCCTCGGGGCCTGCGCACCCCTGACTCCAGCGAGCGTGGCCACACGAGCCCGCTGGGCACTCCGCTCAGGGGGTATTGAAGCTGAGGCTGCCAACATGCACCCCTAGGGCCTTGTCTGTGCTGGGCTGGGGGTCACGGGTGAGCCGTGCTGGAGTCGAACGGGGCTGGGTCAGCAAGTTCGCGTGCGTGTGGTGAGCGACAGGCTTGGGTTCACTGCCAGCATGCTGCTTCTGCTGGAGTGTGCGCTTGCTGTGTGTAAGCTGTCGTGTAGGCCTGTGCATCTGTGGTGGCTGCGTGTGAGGGGACGCTTGGGCGCAGAGCTGGGTGCCCGAGGGAATGTGAGCGTGAATCTGTACAGGAGGGCGAGAAGGGCGCAGAACGGGGTGTGTGGGTGTGGGTTTCGGGAGAGTGAAGGGGATGTGTGCGCCTGAGTGACAGAGACGCTGGCTGCTGAGCCTGTAAGCCGTGGAGCCAGGGCCTGAGGGTGCTGTACACCTCGCGAATGTGTGCCTTTGTGTGTGAGAGAGAGAGAAGCAAGAGCGTCCCTGGGGGAGGGGGGTTGGCGAAGGGCTTCTCTGGGGCTTTCCTCGTGCCCTGTGAAACTTGGCCTTCCTATGACTCTTCTCTAGCCTCATGGCATTTTTTCAAGTCTCCAGGCTCTCGCATGCACAGCCAGGGTTGGGCCACAGTTAATATACAAGAGTGACCTCTGCGCGACTCGGTTTTCTTCCCCACCATTAGCGGTCTGAGACCCAAAGCTGTACGTTCGCCACCTGGCTGGTTCTACAGGGACAGAAGAGAGGCAGAAGGCTGGGGGTGTTTGGGGGCCACCCAGTGAGGAGGCCCAGCTGGCTCCCTGTGCAGACCCTTCTCACTCTCAGGGACCCTTCTGCAGGGTTGGCTTCTCAGAAAAGACCAGGGGGGAACGTGCCAATGGGAGTGAGCCCCAAACCACACCCATGGCCTGTCCCCAGGGAATCCCTCAGCGCCCTCGTCCATTCTCCAGCCCTGCCTCTCCCATCTCAGTCACCCCAAGCCCCTCTTCCTTCCTTTATGGCCCTCAATCCACAGACTCATTCTCCAGACCGCATCTGTTTTCCTGACTCACTCTCAACCTCTACCTGTCTGCAGCCCCCTCAGTCCCAGCTCCCTGCCCCCTCATACACACCCCAGCCTTCTTGGCAATCCCACCCCCCAGTCTAGCTCTTCTTCCTGTTTTAGGGTCTAACCTCAGGTCCGCTCAGACCTGATAGATGGGCCCCACTTACCCCTCATCATGGATGGACTGTAGCTCAGCTGAGCCTGGGTGCGGCTCCCATTTTATGAGGACCAGCGGGGTGGAGCCTGCCCCAGGGCCCTGCACAGGAGCCTGGCAGAGAAGCCCTGCCCTCTAGGGTGGCTGTCAGGTGAGATGGCCGCTGGGACTTGGTCCCACCCACAGCCTCACCCTCTGCATCCTCACCTTCCCCTGACCGTCTCTCCTCCTCGTGAGATCTTCCGCTCAGCTGAGAATCTGGGCTCTGGGGCCAATGAGGAAGAGGGTTATGGGAACCAGGTGGGTTGTCCCAAGCCAGCTGTGACCATCTCCCAGGAAAGGGTGAGGAGCAGGACCAAGCTCCTGGCCAGGTGTGCATCTCAGGGTCTGGCCTCCCAGGAGTGGCGCTCCTGCCTGCCCCCCAGGGCACAGCCTGCTCTACTGCTGTCCAGTGGCAGCCTCCCGCTCCACTGTGAGTCTGTCCACGCTGGGCATTTTGTCCAGGAGCTCCCAGGGGGACTTCGCCCTCTCCATCCCCTTAGGGGTTCACTGAGCAGATTGGGTAGTGGTCTTTGGTCATTTTTAGAGGGGAGGGATTTTCCTCTTTCCGCTGGGACCCCTGGGGCTGACTGCCTTGGGCCCAGGCAGGCTTCTCTGGAAACCCCTTCCCTGGGGGCACAGGCCAGCTGGTTGTGTGCCAAGATCAGCTTTTTGTTCTCTGTGTGCAGTGCAGGCAGAGGCTGGCCGGCTGGGGAGAGAGGTGAACAGGATGTGCGCTCTGAGCTTGCTCATGGGGCTGTGGAGGGGGCAGGAGTGGGAACAGGCTGGGGCACTCAGCTGTGGGGACACAGGACTCAGATTCTGGGTACCAGGGTGGTATAGGGAAAGGGCACCAGCGCTGGAACCCAACAGAACTGGATTCGAATCCTGCCATGTCATGTCATAGCTGTGGACATGGGGCTTCTGCCTCTCTGGGCCTGACTGGCTTATCTGTCAAGTGGGTCAATAGTACTTTCTTCCTAGGGTATCTCAGGGGTATCTGAGATGCTGTGTGTAAGAGCCTGATGGCATCTTCACTTGGTAGCCACCTCAGCTACATTTTCTTTCCTTGTGGAGATAGTCTGGGTTGAGACATCAATCACAACTCTAATAATCTGAAAACAGTAGCTCCGCTATCACAGATCAGATAGAATAGGGTTTGCTACATGCAAGATCATGAGCTGCAAATAGAAATCATTTTATTTTCTTTGTACTTTGATTGTCTTTATTTCATTGTTTTTGCCTCATTCCTGTAGATAGAATGTCTTAGTTGAATAGTAGTGGTTAGAATACACGGCTTTGACTTGTGGGGAAACATTTAGTCTTTCACCACTAAGGATGCTAGCTGTGAGGTTTTCAGAGATGCTGTTATCAGAGTAAAGAAATGCCCATTTACTTCAAATTTACAGTTGTGTTTTTATCACAAAGGGGTGTTTGCTTTAGTAAAATGCTTTTACTCCACCTGTTGAGACAATCATGTGGTTTTTGTTCTTTGTTAGTATAGTGCAATATATGAAATGATTTTCAAATGATAACCTACTCTTGCATTCCTGGGAGGTTTGTGATTCTTGCAGTTGCATTGGTTACTGACAAGGAGAAGAGGAGTCCCCATGGTCTGACCAGGTCCAGGTAAGGACCCTGGGTAGAGCCTGGGTAGGTTACTCTGGGTCTCCTGTACCTGCTTCGTAAACTTTCTTCATAACACAATCAGTGGTTGAATTCAGTTTATGCCAGTACGCTTAACCGGGACCCTAACAGACCAGAAAAGGCCTTAGGGAGGAGGCTACTTGGGGGTCTCTGACTGAAAATTGACTTCCCAAATATCTCTACACCCTCATTCCTTGAATCTATAAATGTTACCTTACATGACAAAAAGATTTTGCAGAAGTGATTAAGCTAAGCATCTTGAGATGGGGATGTGAACCATGCATTATTCAGGTAGGCTCTAAATATAGTCACAAGTGTTCTTCTAAGAGAGAAGCAAGCCAATCAAGGGGGAGAAAGTGATGTGAACATAGAAGGAGAGATTGAAGTGATGTGGCTACAAGCCAAGGGAAGCTACAGCAGCCTCTAGATGCTGGAAGATGCAAGAAAACAGACCTTCCCCCCAAGACTCCAGACAGACCCAGGCCTACCAACGCCTTGACTTTCAACTCTTTAAGACTCATTTTGGATGTCTGAACTCTGGAATAACTAGTGATACATTTGTGTTGTTTCATGCCACAATGTTTGTGACTATTTTTCAGGTAGCACAGTCCCGAGCATCAGAGAACTTCCTCAAACCCAGTCACAGCCAACTTCAAGTGCTCCTGTCCATTGTTCATTTTAGTGTTACCTCTTGAGTCTCAACATAGGCAATATAAGCATGTGCTCCTGACTGTCACTAGCAGGCAGTGGCTTTACTGGATGCTTTACATACATCCAGCCTGCTGCAACAGGGACACAGCAACCGCGCATTCGGGTTAAATCTGTGTCTGCCTCTCAGGAGCTGTGTTGGAGGGAAAGTCACATCACTTCTTCTCTGACATTCTGTGTCCTGATGCATGAAACGGAACCTTCAATAAATGTGGGCTTTCTTCTACTCTGTCTCCTGAGAGACACTGTGATTCAGCTGGGACGGTAGGTTGATTTGGAATCAGGAAACTTGGGTGCTATTTATGGCTTGTTTTCTGTATGATGCAGGGTAAGTCCTCTCCAGTCTTTCCCCAGCCATCCCTGCCACCATCTAAGGGCTTGTGAACAAGGCAGCTGTGGTAGCAGAGGGAGAGGCTCTATGTGAGCTCAGAAACTTGGACTAGGACTCACTGAACCTGGCCTGGCTGCAAATAAGTCTTGATTTATTCATTCTTCCTTCCTTCCTTCTTGACAGTGGGTTGTTAAATTTTTAACATCAAATCATTTGTTAACTCTTAGGCTGCCAGTTAGGACTATAGGACCGTTGACATCTGACTCAGTTTCTACATCTGCAAGGATAAAACCATCTATTTCATAGGGATTTGTTTGACTATCAAAGGGGTTATTGTAAGCCCTTAGATAAATATCAGGGATAAGAAAACAAGGCCCCATAAGGCTTTTATTGGGTTGTTGGAAAAGTCATGATGTATTTTTGCTATGCAAAACTGCTCCATGATTTTCTGACAATCCATTGTTACCACCATCATTATTGTTGTTGTCGTGAACATCATTATTACTATCCTAGTAGCTTGTCTGGTCTACGTCTCCCTCATTGACTCACATAGCTCTCATGGCCTGGGAGATACAGACCCTTGGGATTCATCATGTTGAGGATGTGTGTGGTAAAATCTTTGTTAGTGACTAATCAATGCTGAGCAGATGAGCAGCTTTTTCTTTAATTTCTTGAGAACAAAGCAGAGGGACTCTGTGGACAGTGGGAATGGCCAGTGGCTGGGAGACACAATATATAAGTTCTAGTCCCCCACGTTGACTCATGGAGGCCAGCGGTTTTTCTTCTTTGCAACTTATTTTTCATGGCTGTCAAAGAGGAGTAGTGAGCTGGGCCTGTTGGTCCTGAAGGTCCCTTCTGACTCAGTATCAGCAGTCACTGATACTGGCTCTTGGAAATGCTCAGTAAGAATCTGTCATCACTATTGACATCAACTCTAAAATGGGTCCTTATCACATCCCTCCCAGGAGTTTTGGGAGGACCTGGTGAGAAAATGCACATGAAAGTGCTTGGTAAACCATCAAGTTCTATGATGAAGCCCCAAAGGACCATTAAGATGAACTTGATCATTAGTAACATCACCACCTCTTGCTATTCCCTTCAGTTCCCTCCCCAGACACAAACCCAGAAAACTTTCTTGAGCACCTATATAAACAAACAGGAGCCCATCCCCACGGGGCACAAAGGTGTTTTGAGCCGGGGCCAATTAGAGAGTCCCAGGTTGTGAGGGCTGCCTCCCGGCTCTCCTCTCCTCATGGGTCTCCTCACCTTGAGGTCCACGCAGCTGAGAGAGAAGCATCCAGAGCCAGTCTTCCTCGAGCCAGCCCTCGGTGTGGCTTCAGTCCCACTGGTCTAGGGGCGGCAGGAGGGATTCAGGTAGCGTTCACGTACACTCCTCCATTTAGACTGGAACACATACAGATGTGCAGCCCCAGCCCAAGAGGCAAGTGCAGGGTCTCTGCTCGCCCCACCGTTGTCCAACTGGCCAAATCCCTCAGCTCTTCCCAGCCACTTTTCATTTACCTGAGAGACAGAGATTGGAATGATGGTCGGCAGCTTTTAAGTAATTTTGTTATGGCAAAGTTAGGATGGCTTGACTATTATCTCGCCTATGAGCCCAGAGTGCTCCTGACCTTGGACAAAATGCTGCACCTCCCTGGGCCTCAGTTTCCTCATCTACCCAGTGGAAAATGTATCCTGCTTTGGACTAGCTCTTCACTGCTGAGTGAAGGTCAAGGACACATCTGAGAGGAGTTAGGACTGCATTCAGGGCAAGAGAGGTGTTGTTTGTGTTAAGTTTTTGCAAAGAGGATTGATGAGAGAGTTCACCTGTCCTGAGTTCAGGGCCCAACTCAGGACAACCTCCCACCTCCCCCTGAATCTCTGGCCCATCAGCTGTGGGTGTGAAGGAGGGGAGGAGTTGGGGTACAGAGGAAGACTCTCACAGGGTATTCCCCTAAGACTGTAGTTGAATCTGAGTAACAGCTGAGAGTCCAGGGAGTCTTGGAGACACGGCTCTCCCCCCACCCCCACGTGTCTGTTACAAGGAACCATGGAGTATGAGGTGGATCCTCTGGTACACCTGGAATGCAGCCTCTTCTTGTCAGGTGTGACTAGAAACAGGCCATGGGAGAGGGAAGGTCAGGAAGTAAATATGGGGATGGGGAGGACAGGCATGAAGCCCTTATACTGTGCTGAGCTTTAACTGCCATATATGTCATCTCTAGCTCAGCCTCCCTCTAACGCTGGGAGAAATCGGCCCCTTCTCCCCCATTTTAGAGTGGTGAAGCTGACGTTTGTTTCCAAAGACACATGGATATGGGAGCAGTAGACTTAATGGGAGTCTGGACACCCCACTTTTCAGTCATGTGACCTTGGACAGGCTCCACACTTTCTAACACTGTTGTCCCACCTCGCACAGCCTTTCCTCCCAAGGGCTGGTGGCTGGCACAGGTGCTGGGCCTTGTCTCTAAGCTGAGAGCCGGTGGGCCTGGAAGGTGGGCTGCTCCCTGCAGAGCCAAGCAGCAGAGTCAGGTCTGATCAGAGCCTCACCTGAGTGGGCCGTGCTGAGGCTGTGAGGGGCTAGCAGAGGCCCAGGGGAAAGGGGAACCTGCCAGGCTTGTACCAGGCTGTTGGGGCCAGAGCTGCTCACCAGGGGTCCTGCCACTCCTGCCAAGAGCAGAGCAGAGCGTCTGGAGTCTGGGTTCCTTGGCCAACTCTATGTATCATCAAAGAGGCTGAGTGACTTGTGCAAGGTATTGTCCTGTGGGGAATTGAAGTGAGTTTTCCTTCCTCAAGGTCATTCAATAAGGACCTTGACTCATGGCGTGATTGACAAGTTGGAAAACAGGGACTTGGGAGGTCAGAGGGGAGTCAGAATGGGCTTTCAGTTCTTGACACATCCATGGGGTGTCCAGATGCCAACACTTTCCCTGCTGGGCTGGTCATGTTCCCTAGAAGGCAGGTAAAGGACACCCCACTCCCGCCCTACATAGGTGTGTTTGCTCCTGCTCTGTCCCGAAGGTTATCTTCCCGTGGGGTTCTTGTTTACATGCTTAGGGACTTCACTGGGCATCCCTACTAGAATCAGGGATGCAGGGGGCAGAGGCTGAGGCGGCCCCTCCCCATGGCTCCCAGGAGTTCTGGATGAGAGGCAGCACTATAAGGCCTCATGTTGGCCCATACGAGGAGCTTGCGATGACTGAGGCTCCCTCCATCTGCACCCCAGGACCCTCCAAGGAGGGCCTCTAGGAACCAGGGCTGGCCTGGCTGCAGAGGGCTGCACAGTGCAGACAAGGCAGGGGCTCCTGCCTTCCTCTGCTCAGAATCCTCAGAGTCCTGCCTTGCTGACTTCTGTTTCGCAGAGGGCATCTTGTTGAGTTCTTTTCCCTCAAGAGCGAGTAACTGCTTCTCTGACACTGGTTTCTGTGGCTACCCGAGGTGAGTTGGTCTGGGACTTGGGCTGAGGGTGGAACTTGGGCTTCTGTGGAGGTCAGTGGTCATAAGAAGCCAGGTCCACCAGCCCCTGGGTCCTCTGTGCCTACACCCAGCACTCCCTTTCCTCACTTCTTGGGGTCCTTCCCTCACCAGGGCCCCCACATCTTGATCCCTTCCCTTCCTACCTTCTCTCTAGGTTGCCTTCCCTCTTTCGCTTATTCCTTTAGTAATAGTTATTGTTAGTTTCTCTGTGTCAAGCTGTGTTCGAGGTGGTAGAAACTGAGAAATTTAATTTCCTAAATTTAAGGATGTCCAAGTCCAGTGGAGATGTACCCACGAGAGGACAGTGGATCCTCAATGATGCTGCCATGACGGTTGTCATGCTCTCTAGGGACACAGGACTTGTAAATTAGAAACTGGTAGGCTGAGAGACTCTTAGAAGACAGATTTTCTTTTTATCCTTTTTATGCACTTCCGGTAGCTGTAAGATGATTAGGGAACTGTATTTATCATTCCAAGTCACCAAGAAGACAGATATTTTAAATAAAAGCGATGTCCACATCACATGGATTTCAAGTTTGTTGCCTATTTAAGAGATCACTACCCACCCCACGGTGATGTAGATATTCTTCTATTTGAGCCTAAAAATAGTGATCATTTCACCTTTACAATTTGCCATCTGAGACGGCAAATGGAATGGATCTTTTGTACCAAGTGTGGTAGCGTTCAAGATTTCTGCCTATGTGGATATATATGATTCATCAGAAGATATGGAAAAGACCATCCTTTCCCCATTTAATTGTAGGACCAACTTTGCAAATGTGTCAGTTGGTAAAATATTTATGGGTCTCTGCAGTGCTTTTTTCTGTTACATGTATTTATTTATCTTTTTGCCAATTTCATACTTGCTTAATTTTTTGGTTGCATAAACCCTAATTGGCCAGACTATGGGTTTTTTTTTCCCTTCAAGATTCTTCAAAATTTCCATGTAAAATCATATCTAGTTTCAATATCTGCAAGAAGGAAAAAAAAACACCGCTGGGAATT